CCCAGTCGATGATGATGAAGCTCAAGCTCATGATCATGAAGAGCACCCCAAGGAGGGCGAAGCAGGCAGCCTGTGGGGACAGGGAAATGAGTCAGGGACAGCCAGGGCCATGGGGTCCCCGGGACAGCCAGGGCAATGAGGTCCTCAGCCCAGCTGCGGGACCCCTGCCCCCATCCCTGTCATCCCCCCCCATGCTTACCAAGATCTTGGGGGTGGAGCGCAGCGGTTCCTTGTCCTTGGGCATGATGCGGATGTAGAAGATGGCGGGGAAGATGAAGATGAGGCAGGGAGCGGAGGTGGCGCCTGGAGCAGACAGGGACAGAGCGGGCAGGGGGCCCGCGCCCCACAGCTCAGCCCTGCCAGCCCTACTGCCAGGCAGGTCCTGTTGTTTCCCCCCCTGCCACCCCCAGCCCTGGCAAAGCCTTCCAGGAACCCAGGGACACTGTGTCCTGGCACTGTCCCCACGCCCCCCCGCCCCGCAGCCAGGGCCTTGGCACCGAGCCGGGTGCCGAGCAGGGCAAGCCTGGCTTGGGGGATCAAGGGGAAGAGCAAGCACCGGCTGGCAAAAAAACCCCCCTGCAGGAACTAGCTTGCCGGGACAGGGATGGGACTGGGGACCCTCACATGCCATATAGTCCCAGCACAGTGAGAAGGGGAAACTGAGGAACAGGGCAGGGGCAGACAAAGCCCAGTGCCCGGCAGGGGCAGGGGCTGGTGTGCTGCCCACAATGCCCAGCGGTAGGCGGGGGACAGGAGCACGGCACTGCCACACACCGATCAAGCCGAAGATGCCAAGGATGGAGGGGGCAAAGATGACCAAGAGGTTGATGAAGGTCAGCAGGACCACAGCAATGGTGACGTGGCGGATCCAGCTGAAGTCCTTCCCTTGGAACACCATCTGCTGGATGGCCCGGCGCACCTGGGAACAGGGACGGGGTGTCGCGCTCCATCTGTGAATCCAGCGCCCATCCCCTGTCCCTGCAGTCCTGATGGTCCCCATCACCCCTTCCCAGCCCTGTCCCCATGGCCCTGCCAGTCTCCATCACCCCTGCCTCTGCCCCAGCCCTGTCCCTGACATCCAGGCAGTCCCGTTCCCCAATCCCTGCAGCCCCGCTGATCCCTGTCACCCTGTCCCTGGGCCTCAGTCCCATCACTGCCTCAGTTTCCCCTCTCAAAGCCTGGTGCTGAGGTCTTGTTTCAGCTGGGGGAAGGCAGTGCCACCTGGCATCCCCATGGAGCTACTCACCGGGAAGAGGACGATGGGGACGGTGAGGGTGACAGCTGTCAGCACGGCCACCCGCACGCACAGGATGAGCACGTCGAAGGGGTCCACCTTGTTGTACGTGTGCAGCAACTCTGACTCCACCCGGCCTGTGGGCACCGGTGGGGAGCCGCTGGG